ATTAAATTAAAATTTTTTTATATAAATCAAATAATTGTCAAATTAAAAAAATTAAATAAATACTTACCTACAAACTCTACTTCAAAACCGGTCTGGCGTCTTAGAGTAGGACGCTACTCATTATGGGGATTCTCATTCCCTGAGCCTTCTCCTCCTCCTCCTCCTCCTCCTCAACATCACCATGTGGTTGTTCATTCCCCGAGAAATGAGCCTCCTCAATAGGCTGGATATCATCACGCTCCATGAAGCTCAAGCTATCCTCTTCGTTCAAATCGTAGTCATGAATGCTTGGGAATGACTCACTAGTATCATCACCCCCAGCACCATGATCTCCATTGGGTCCTCCTTTATCAGGATCGATCGGCTCTTTTCCTAGTCGACGAGTCATCCTAATAATAACAAATAGCAATTGTAATGAAAAATATATTTTATAACTAACAATTATTAAAAGCAAACAATTATATATTAACTCTAAATAATAATAAATAATTGAAAAACAGATATTTGTACATTTAAATTTGCCATCAACTCATTAAAAAAATAATTCTTTTATTAACTCTAAATAAACTAGTCTATTATAAAAAAATATTTCTATTAACTCTAATTAAACCAGTCTCTTAAACTCAATATAAAAAATATAATAAAACAAATAAAATAAAAAATAAAAAAGAAATTAATTTATAAATAAATTTCTATTCTTACATGAAAATGTAAAATACTATCTGGATCTGGATATACTTTGTGGAGAGAATTCGACAAAGCTTCGTTGCACAATTCGCCAAAACTATGCAAATGAGGCAGAGGGGGTATATATAGGCCGTAATTTTCTAACGGTTCTATGAAAACCACTAGAAATTTGTAGCGCTGCCCCTCTGCCTCCACCCACTTGCAGCCACGTGTCAAGCCTCCTCGGGAAAATAAAAAATTTCTTGCAGTTTTCAATAAAAACTGTTAGAAAATTTGTTGAACTTTCTAGAGGTTATGTAATTGCTAGAAAATGCAATGACAATTTATATTCTCTAGCGGTTCCAGCAACAAAACCGCTAGAAACTAAACACTGGAAATATGGTGCCAATTTTGCGGCAAATGGCAAAAACAGTTGTAGTCGTCACTTTCTAACGGTTGGTTCAAAACCGCTAGAAATGTGTGGGTCTCACTCACTTTTTGGTCAAAGCTCTGTAGATTTCTTGCGGTTTGTGTTATAACCGCTAGAAATATCTACTTTTGTAATAGTTTTTTTTTTAACCATGAGAAATGGACCGCTGGTAATTTACTATTTTTTTGTACTGAGAAAGAGGGAAAAAGAAGAGCTTGGTGTGTGAGGTAAACCGTTTTTCCCAAAAATTTTGTTCTGTTGAGCATAGTTGGGTTGTGATAGTTGAATAATGTAAAAATGAGTGTTTAAATGCATGGGTAAGTAGATAGTAAGGGAGAAAAAAATCTAATATAGCTTTTAAGTTTAGAGAGAAATTGTTATCTTCTTTTTCTTTAGAGAGAGATTGTTATCTTCTTTTTCTTTGAAGTTAATAAACATGAGGTGTTAGTGATTTTTGAAAAGTGGGTGAGAATGAGTAAACACTGATTGTAATACGTTGTCAAAGGAACTTAGGAAGGGAGAACTGAAAGGAAAATGGGTGAATGTGCTGAAATGGATGATATGAAAACGAAATGTGCAGAAAAATGGTAACTTGCAGTTGTGAAAATAAGTATTTGGATTGTAAAATTTGCAAATTGGAGTTGTGCAAGAAAATGACAATTTAATGTTATGAAAACTGGTATTTCTGTTGTAGACCTGCAAATTCCTATTGTTAACGCATACTGTCTATTATTATTGAAAGTTGATTGAAATTGATAATTGAATGATGTGCAACAACAGATTATAAATAGCTACTAGTGGCAGAAAACAACTATTTTGTAGAAGTATGAGTTGATTAAGTCCTTATCTATGAATGCATTACTTTTAGATTTCAATCTTGTACTCTACTGTGTCCCTTGTTTGATGATTCTTAATGTTATGTAATAGGAAGAACTCAGTTCCCTGAGGTCAGACTTGCTGTGGCGGCTTATTACTCATACAAGAAATACATGGTTGGTAGCTATTGTACAAGTACTTGCAAAGATACAGACACAACCAAGAGAAAATTGAAGAGAGATTTGTCAGCTCAAGATGTCTTTTATAGTAGCAAAGGATGTGTCAATTTTTATGCATAAGGATTACCCATAATTTCATTTTCAGTGCAATGAACTATATATTATGTGTTTATTACATTTCTAGTAATAATAATATATTTTTCCCCACAAATTTCATACTTTGAGTGCAAATGTTAACTATTGGAATTAGGGAATTTGCAACAATAATAGCTAAGTTTACAACAGGGGCTCCTGTTTTTGCAAGTGGTTTTTTAAAATATAACTGAACCATCACACTAGAGTCTGTCAAGTGTGTTCACGATTGGATTTAGATAATTTGCAAAAGGCGTTAGGAAATTTAGAACAGGAACTCGTGTATTCGTAAGTAGACTTACGTAATTGGCAATAGGAGTTAGGAAATACGCTAAAATGATACGTGCGTTACAATAGGAATTAGAGAATTTGCAAAAGCAATACATCAATTAACAACAGAAATACATCCATTCACAAATGGACAAAATCTTTCATACATTTACAATTTTACCAGCCAATTTTAGCACAGAGCTTGGGATAGCTTGTCGTCACGTACAGTCATGAAATATTTCAACTATCAATTCATTATACGAAAAAGATTACAACCCACCACCAAATAAGCCCACTTACTCTCATGCACTGTCCAACTGTGAAGCTTGTCTCAAGTCTTTCTCATTGTTGCAAACATAAACATGCCAACTATTATCGTTGTACTCAATTAATGGTCCTACTTCAATATCATCAATAAGGTCCAAAAATGTTTTCCTGTTCAAACTATCTGTATACTTCATTTTATATTTATCATTGCCTAGCCAAACATCATTTGCTACCATGCTTTGTAGTTCTTCATATATCATCCCTTTTCTGATCAGTCTTCTACTTATAATACACCTTTCATATACCAATTTTCCTTCTAAGGTCTTCACAAATTCTACTCCCATATGGAAGATGCAAAATAGTTATTTCCTGCCACCAGTAGCTATTTATAATCCGTTGCTGTACATTATTCAACTATCAATTTAAATCAACTTTTAATAATAATCGACAGTATACGTTAACAGGAATTTGCAGGTTTACAATAGAAATAGCAGTTTTCATAACATTAAATTGTCATTTTCTTGCACAACTCTAATTTGCAAATTTACAATCGGAATACATATTTTCACAACTGCAAGTTACCATTTTTCTACACATTTTGTTTTCATATCACCCATTTTAGTACATTCATCCATTTTCCTTTCAGTTCTCCCTTCCTAAGTTCCTTCAACAACGTATTACAATCAGTGTTCACCCATTCTCACCTACTTTTCAAAAATCACTAACACCTCATGTTTATTAACTTCAAAGAAGAAAAAGATAACAATCTCTCTCTAAATTTAAAAGCTATATCAAATTTTTTCTCCCTCACTACTTACTTACTCATGCATTTAAACACTTATTTCTACATTATTCAACTATCATAACCCAACTATGCTCAATAGAACGAAAATTTTGGGAAAAACAGTTTACCTCACGCACCAAGCTCCTCTTTTTCTCTCTTTCTTCTTTCTTTTCGGCAGATACAGTTCATAGGATATTTCAATAAAATGGCTTCAGCAATTAATTTCAGTTTGCCCCCTAGGTCCTTCAATGAAATTTCAGAATCCTTAACTGAAATTTCAGATTTTTTTTTGGACTGTTTGAAATTAATTCACATCTTCGGTCCTTAATCGAAATTTCTCTTTTTTTTTAAGTCATGCTTTAAATTTTTCACATTAATTGGATAAACACCATCTTTTTGCCTTATCATATACTCCCTTCGGTCCTATATATAAGCTTCACTTTTGAAAATAGGTTTGATCTAAAATGTAAGCTCCATTTTTTAGTTTGTTTGAACATTTAGTACCTTTTTTTTTCTATTTTACCCTTAGTTGACTGAATGTAATACTATCTCTGTTATTAAATTACTCCTATATATTCTTTTTTTTTTTCCAACTATTGTCTTTCATTTACTCTCTTAATAAATAAGAGCAAATTTAGAAAAAATATATTTCTGACCCATTTATTATTTTTACTTAATTTTAACTGCTAGTTCATTAAACGTAATTTAGTTATTTAAAACTTATATATTAGACCGGAAGGAGTATGAAACATGATTAAAAAATTTTGATTTTTTTAAGTCATGCTTTAAGTTTTATGAATAAAAAATTATATTAGAAGAATTATATTTCCATTTTTAATTTATCTATATTCTATAATATATCCAATTGGCTTCCGCTCTGCCCACAGCTGCACGGCCCTTAATCTTGGAATTTCTTGGGCAGACCCCTTGTTGGTGGACCCCATATTGATGTCGGCTAGGGATTTGGGATTCCTGACATGTATATATTGATTTTATTCTAAATATAAGACTCATGTTGTATCATTTTGAAGTGTAATTTATATTATAAAAAAATTTTATATTTAGGATCAGAAGAATATATATATATAGCGAAAAATATAATAAATATAATTTTGAACATAAAATAACAATTATATTTTTGAAGATTTTTTTAGTTGAATCTCTTAACAGGTTAAGGGTAATTTTTGTTTACAATTAAGTGTAATCACTGCAAGTCTTGGCAGGCAAAGATTCCAATTATGGCAAACATATATGAATCAGATCTCATTATAATTTATTTTAATAGTAAATAGTAATTTTTTTATAATAATATCAAATTCACTTAACTGTCACTAACAAAAAAATTTTTTTTGGTTTGTTTGATAGCGCAAGCTGCTGAGCATGCCAAGCCAAAAGCCCTCCCTATAAAACTAAACCTTCCATCTCTCATCTTCTTCACACTCTTTCCATTTCCTCATCACCTCGCAATGGCCAAACCTTCCCTTCTCTCTCTTCTCTCTGTCCTCGCCGTGGCCGCCGCCTCCTCCCCTTCAAACTTCATCAAATCCTCCTGCAGCACCACCACATATCCTTCCCTCTGCTTCAAATCTCTGTCCGACTACGCCTCCACCATCCAACAGGACCCTCACCAGCTCGTCCAAACCGCCCTCTCCCTCTCTTTCAACAAAACCGCCGAGACCCGCGCCTACGTCTCCAAGCTCCGATACATCTCCGGCCTGAAACCCCGGGAACTCGCCGCCCTCCAAGACTGCATCGAAGAGATGGCCGATAGCGTCGACCGGCTCGGCCGGTCCCTGAAGGAGCTCAAGCTGTGTAAGCCGAAAAGCCAGGACTTTTCATGGCACATGAGCAACGTAGAGACGTGGGTTAGCTCCGCCTTGACCGATGAGAGTACTTGCAGCGATGGGTTCGCCGGAAAAGCTTTGAACGGCCGAATCAAAGCTTCTATCAGAGCCAGAATGGTTAATGTTGCTCATGTCACTAGTAATGCTTTGTCTCTTATTAACAAATATGCGTCTGGTAATTACTGAGAGACATAGATTCATATATAGTTCATGAAGATGAAGCTGAATCTTTCAATATATATATATATATATATGGTTTTATGTTTTGGTCTGTGTGTATGCAGTCAGTTTCTTTTGGTTTTTGTTTCTTTTTGACGATCGACCATGTTAATAAGCTTGGTTTGGTTGAAGTGTAATTGAGAGAGCGTTTTAGTGTGACATGAAGAAATTATACATAGAAATCTGCAGTTGTGTGACGTTTCTTGAGAGTTTTGTGAGATATTTATTTATTTTTCCTTTAAAAATATGCTGTATATATAGCTGTATTTGATATTACATTTGAGGAAAAAATATTATTAAATTTCAATAAAAATAAATAGGAAGATCTGGACACTCCAAATCTTATATGGACAGCTCATCAGATGAGTATTACACACATGCATTTAGATCTATTTGTCATGTAAGAGATTTTTTTTTATCCAAAGAAAATGTATGTATGTGTGTGAAAAAATAAATAGAATAATAAATTTTCAAATAAATTTTGTTATATATTATTGTGTTTATCTTCATTGAAAATTATGTTTTACAAACACTCGTGTGTACTGTTTTAGTGGCCCCGAAGTGGGTAGATATGTTGAGGAAATAGGCAATTTGATGATTATATGGTCCTCCTTTGTTCAAGGCGCAAGTTGATATATATGCTACGTACTTCGAGAAGATATAGACGAACTTGTTCAAAGTTTTAACCACTTAACCACTCTTGTCAAGCTCGAGAAGTTACTGTCGGAGTTTAGTATTTTTATATGTCTACCTTAACAAAATTGTTTAAACTCATTCCTAAACTCATACTAGCGGTAAACTGATTAAACTCACATGTTAATTCTCGAGTTAAGCAAGTTAAATATGTACCTGGCAAAACTTGATTTACAAAATGTGTAGGAAGACACCGTCCAAAAAAAATAAAAATTAAAAGACAAAAATCATTTATTTGTTTAAATTTATGAGTTTAACAGCCTTAGTTTTAATTGTTTATCTTAACATGCCGTAAAACTAAAGGTATTCCCTCCTATCTTAAATGGGCTAGTTAATATGTTTATTTTGATCTTAAATATAAAATGTTAATCTATTTTGTCTTTTAAATTTATAATTTTTTTAAATTATGCCTAATGATTGCACATATTAAAGAAATTAAAATTTTGGTAATTTCAATACAAACAATTAAAATGTTGATTTAGAAAAAGTAATGCACATTTTTTCAAATAACAAAATTAACTATTTTTAACATATATAAATTATTTAACTTATACATCGTCTAGAACGATTAAAAGGAGTAATTTATTCTTTATTTGTGTGTGTGTGTAGATTTCAAAAGTTAATGCACACTGATTTGTCGATAAAGTGTAAGTTTTTTAATTAGAAGATTGGTCAAGGATACACTACAAAAAAATATGTTAATTCTAGCGGTTAGAGTGTTACATTTCTAGCGGTTTTAACCGCAACAAATCAAATTTGTAGCGGTTAAGGAAACCGCTAGAAAAACAGGTGCAAGAAAAAATTTCTAGCGGTTATTGCAACCGCTACACATCATGGTCAAAACGATAGAACATTTCTAGCGGTTTCTAACCGCTAGAAAATATCTGAAGGAGAAACATTCCTAGCGGTTATAAAACCGCTAGAAAATGTTCCGGAAAAAAATTTCTAGCGGTTTTATAATCGCTAGAAACCTGCTAAACGAAATCCATTTTGCCGGGAATTACATAATTTCAATAGCGCGCGGAAATTACTAGCGATTATAGAACCGCTAGAAATGTTTGGGAAATTAACTTTTCCCGCCAATTGAATTTTAGGAATGGCGGCAAAAAATTTTCTAGCGGTTTGAACCGCTAGAAATTTTGGCGCAAAATTTAAATTTGACGAAATATTTCTAGCGGTTCGGAACCGCTAGAAATGTTTACCGTGCCAGAAAAAAAAATTTATGGTTTTTCATATTATAATTTTAAAAACCATTAAATAAATTATGTTGAAGAATTTTTGTTAATTTGTATAATTAACAAAAATATGTAATTTTGTAATAAAAAATATGTAATTAAATTATGAATGTGTCAAAAGAAGTGAATTTAATTTAATCAGATAATTTAATTGAATATTTAATAAGATAGTTGAATTGAAGATGATATATTTTGTAATATTGAACCTATAGTATTAGGTTGATGAGTATTTGAATCAGTTGAGGAGGGCATGACAAGTGTGGAGAAGAAAAATCTGAAAGGAAAGGAGAAATAAATATGTTAGTAAATTTTAAATAAAAACAAATAAAAGATACAATGAATTATAAAATAAAATTCACTTACCATACAGTAAAGAGAAAAAAAACCACCATATGAGATAGTAAGAAAAAAAGAGAGAATTATGAAGAAGAATAGGAGAGGAAAGAAAAGAGATGGAGTAAATGAATGTAGAGAAGATATGGTATTTATAGAGATCAGCGACACATTTGTAGCGGTGTTTTTGTAGCGTTTTATTGCATTTTGTAGCTGTTATTCATTTTCTAGCGTATATATAAGCGCTAGTATTTTGTAGCGGTTATTAACTGCTAGAAATTTAGTATTTTTTATTTTTTAAAATCTGAACGAATTTTAATTTACAGATATGTATTTGTAGTGGTTAATAACCGCTACAAATTACAATTTCGTAAAAAAATTTGTAGCGGTTATGTAACCGCTACAAATTAAAATTTTCTTATTTTTATAAAAACTGTACGAATTTTAATTTATACATATGTATTTATGGACGGAAAATTTTTTAAATAATTTATTTTGGATGCTGCTATTCTCCATCATCATCCGGCCTGAAAGGACACATTTTAAAAAAATTTGTTAAATTTATAATGTATTTGGAAAAAATTAGTAATTAGTAGTTAATTATTTAAATAATTTAAGAAAAGACGTGTACCTGATAAGTGGCAAATTATCATCTCCTTGAGGAAAGAAGTCTTCAAAATTCGAGGGTTGGAAGGGTTCACTGTCGTAAATAATGTCACCATCACCCATATCGTAAAGATCCCGTGGCTTGAGGTGAACGACCATATTCCAGTCTTTATGTTTCTCGTCCTCGACATAGTAAATTTGGTGTGCCTCAGAAGCAAGGATATATGGCTCATCATCTTCAGATGCCCCCGTATGAATAAGTCTAGAGAAATTGACTGAGGTGATGCCCAAATGGTCAGTAGCGAGTCCCGTGAAGTTGTCGTATTTGCCCAGGAGCATTTGAACAGTGTCACGGTGAAAAGCTGGTAACTCAACTCAATAATGTCAATTAGCTTTCCATAGTAAGTGACGCCTCCAAAGCGCATATCGCCATCACTACTGCTAGCATAACATCTCGTTCCGAATGTCCCGCAAACTCCAGAGTTTTGTGTGAGCAATCCCTGATCACGTCCAACCGTACAGAACTTGAAGCCGTTGACATTGTACGCGGTAAACCTTCGTGCATGGTCTAACGGACCGAGAGAAAGAGCTTTGAATTCATCTGTGTATGGGCTGTTGTCATTACGTATTCGACGTGTAAACCAACTGGGAAACTCTTTGTGGACTCTTTTATCAATGTCAGCAGAACGCACACGGCCCCGTAGCTGACGCCTGAGATAACTCCTAAACTCACTATAGTAAAGTGTAATTTGTTAGAAGAGTCAGTAAGAAACAAATATAAAGTGTAAAAGCTAGTGAGCTTATATGATATATATACTTACTGCATGAAGGGTTCAACTTGGCTGCAATTTATCAAAACGTGTCTGTGTGCCTGGAGTTTCTCTATAGGAGTGAGTCTAAAGAATTCATATCCTCCAACTAGTTTCCCAACAGGAGGAAATAAAGTTGACGTGGAAGGACCAGGAGGAGAATCATCTACGCGACGCGGGCGGTTAAAAGATGTCTCCATGTCATTAAAGTACCTCGAACAGAAAGTTAGAACCTCATCTCCAGAATAACCTTCTGCTATTGACCCCTCAGGCCATGCCTTATTCCTAACATATGATTTTAATTTTTCCAAGTACCTGTAAGTTAAAATTGCATTAATAATTACGAGTAAATGAAAGAACAATGTGAAATTTAAAGAGGCGGGAATAAAAGATAATCTAGTACCTCTCTATAGGGTACATCCATCGATAGTGAACTGGGCCAGCAACCTTTGCTTCTCGAACAAGGTGGACAGTCAAGTGAACCATAACAGTAAAGAATGATGGAGGAAATATCATCTCCAAGTGACAAAGTGTAAGAATAATTTTATTTTGCAGCTGATCAAGCTCTTCCGCTACCAAGACCTTCGCACACAACTTCTTGAAAAATGAACATAATTCTACCAAAACCACCGATACATCAGAAGGAAGTGTGTTTTTCAAGGCCAATAGAAGTAACTGTTGCATAAGAACATGAGAGTCATGACTTTTCATCCCAGTAACCTTTCGAGCCTGCAGATCGATACACCTTGAGATGTTGCTAGAATATCCATCTGGTACTTTTATGTTCTTCAACATCGAGAGGAAGATATCCTTGTTCTGCTTTGTCAAGGTGAATTTAGCTGGCTGAAACTTGTCGTTTTCATCAGGCCAAGCCTCTTCACGAATTCCCCAGGCCCGTAAATCTTTTCTAGCTGCGAGATGGTCTTTGGACTTTCCAGCTTCATTGAGCAACGTATATAGCACATTATCGCACACATTTTTTTCAATGTGCATAACATCTAAACTGTGTCGTAGCAAATTAGATTCCCAATAAGGAAGAGTGAAAAATATGCTTCTCTTCCGCCATTGCATAGGTTGCGTATCAGATGTCCCACGAGATCGTCGTCCCAATCGTTCGGGATCCACACTCTTACCAAACTCGACATGAACATCTTCTAACTGCCGCAAAATATCCATACCAGACAAAGTAACAGGAGGATCTCTCTTCTCCTGTTTCCCATCAAAGCGAATCCGTTGCAATCTAAGTCTGTGCTTGGAATCAAGGAACCGTCGATGTCCTATGAAACACCACTTGCGACTGTGTGGAAGGCGACATGGCACAGAATCAAAATTGCACTCAGGACAGGCCAACCCAGTATGCACATTCCAGCCAGACAAAGTTCCCAAACCAGGAAAATCACTTATTGTCCACATCAAGGCTGCACGGAGATTGAATAGTTGCTTGTCATGTGAGTCATATGCCTCAACACCATTCGTCCATAGGTCGATCAATTCGTGTATCAACGGTTGCAGGTATACGTCAATATCATTTCCTGGTGCTTTCTTGCCAGGAATGATCATGGAAAGCAAAAAGGAGCTCTGCTTCATGCACATCCA